CAAGGGAGATTTTTACTTCCTGTATTATAGACTTCATTTCTAACAGTTCTGTTTGACTCTTTTGTAAAGCGTGTAATTCCTCTTTTAGATCTTGCATGAATTTCCTCACCTCCTGGAACTCATCAACTTTTTTCTCCTTTCTCTTTAGCAGTTCATTGTCTCTCTTCTCTTCCATCTCAGTTAGCTTCGCCATTATGAATGTTCTAAATTCTTTATCAGACATTTCCATGATTTGCATTGAACTGCTTGTGGATGAAGAGGAGTTATTCTTTTCCCTTGGAGGAGAGGTATTTTCTTGCTTTCCCATATTTCTTGTGGTCCTCTGGTGATTTCTTGTCATCTGATGGATGGTGTTTTTCTTTCGAATTCTTGAAGTTCAATCTGAGTGTTCAGGAGCAAGCAGAAAGAGGTGATCTGGAATCTCTTTGCCGTTCTGTTGTGATTGCTGGTGCAGCAGATTCAGTAGATGTTAAGGAATATGTTAACCCTGATAGTATTTCAATGTTTAGCTACAGTGCCCTTAAATCCATCTAGAAACACATTGAATGGAATTGAAGAGTGGAGAGAAAAAAAAGAAAGAAAGAAAAAAAGAGAGAGAAACAATGACAAAGAGGGAAAAAAAAGACAAAAAAATTGTAATTATTGTTTTTCTTAAAAAAATAAAAAAAAACAAAAAAGATTTTAAAACCCCAAAAATAGAAAACTGCGTGGCGCACAAAATGACTAGTTAACAGGAGCCATGAGGAATCCTCTTCTGAAGGCTTCAACTCTCCTGCCTGGGCAGAAGGACCAGAGGGGATTATTAACAAAACAAAAGGTGGAGCTGGGAGCAAGAGAAAAACTTTACCTTTAAAAAAACGTAAAAAAGAAAAATTACAAAAAAATGAGAGGACAGAAGCAGAGAGAGACAAAGACAGAGGCACAGAGACAGATAGAAGGCCAGAGGGGCTCCCTACCACGCTAGCTTTGTTTACTGGAGGTTGAATTATCGGTAGAAAATCTTCATTTTTCCTGTCCCCTGCAATGACTAGTTAGCAGGAGCCATGAGGAATTCTCTTCTGAAGCAATATGCAAGCACTTTTCCAACTGAGCATTCCCCTGTCCTTTGGGGAGATATTCAGGAATGGGATTGCTGGATCATATGGGAGTCCTATTTGTAGGTCTTTGAGGAACCTCCATATAGTTTTCCACACTGGTTGGACTAATTTACATTCCCACCGACAGTGTAGGAGAGTTCCCTTCACTACAACCCAGCTAACACTTACCAATTTTTGTATTTTTAATCTTCAGCATTCTAATAGGGGTTAGCAGGTATCTCATTGTGGTTTTGATCTTCATCTCCCTTATAATGAGGGATGTCAAGGTTTTTTTCATATGCTTTTTGGCTGTTCACCACCACCATTTGCCAAAGAGGTTTTCCTTTTCCCACTGAATTGATTGATATTCTTTGTCAAAAATCAGTTGACTGTATGTTTGGGGGCTTATTTCTAGAGTCTCTGTTCTGTTCCATTGGTCTGTCTGTTTCTGTGCCAATACTATGCTGTTTGGATTACCACAGCTTTGTAGTTTTTTTTTTGGTTGGGGAGTGAGATGCCGCCCACTCCACTCTTCTTGTGCAAGATCACTTTGGCAATACAGGGTCTCTTATGACTGCAGGAAAATTGTATGATTGTCTTTTCTAGATCTGTGAAGAAGGTCTCTGGTAATTTGATTGGAATTGTGTTAAATATGTAGATTAATTTAGGTAGAATTGCCATTTTGATTATATTCTTCCAATCCAGGAACATGGATGTCCTTCCACTTTTTGTGTCTTTTTCAATATTTTTTAAAAAAGATTTTCATAATTTTCCTTGTAAAAGTCTTAGACTTTCTTGGTTAGGTTTATCCCTAGGTATCTTATACATTTTGTGGCTATGGTAAAAGGGTTCCTTTCTTCAGTTCTACTTTATCAGCTTGTTATTGGTAAATAAAAATGCTATAGTTTTTTGAATGTTGATTTTGTATTCTGCCACTTTACTGTATTCATTTATTACTTCAAAAAGATTTTTCATGGACACCTGAGTCTTCTATATATACCGTCAAGTCATCTGCAAATGAAGACATTTTCAACTCTGATTCCCCTATTTGAAAGCCTTGTAATTCTCTTTTCTGATTGCATTGACTAGGACTTCCAGTACTATATTGAAAAGAAGTGGAGACAGTGGGCAGCCTTGGGACAAGCAGACTCCAGTGTAGTTGACAGCGGTTCGAGTCCCAGACCTGTCAGCTTAAATCTCATGTCGAGGGCACGAGGACATGTGTGTGTGTGCCCAAGATCCCAAGAGGAGAATGGAGGAGAAGGGACTGGCCATCCCCCATGGGGGGTGATTTCTCTCTTTTTGTCTCTTTATCTCTCTCTGTCTCTCTGGCAAGTGCACGTGCCCTATAGCAAAAATCGCCCTTTAAAAAAAAGAAAGAAAGCAAAAACCTCTCCCCCCGAAAAAAAAAAAAAAGAAAAAAAGAAAGAAAAGAGAAAAAGTAGGCAGTCTTGTCTTTTTTTATTTTATTATTTTTTTTTGAGAGGTTTTTGCTCTTGCCAGAAAGACAGGGAGAGACAGAGAGATAGAAAGCAAGAAATCACCCCCCAGGGGGATGGCCATGCCGCAATCCCTTCTCCTCCATTCTCCTCTCGGGATCTTGGGCACGCACGCACACACGCGTGCCCAGCGTGAGTTTAAGCCACCAGGTCCAGGATTCTAAGTGTGGTCGACTACATGGGAGTCCAGCGACATAGCCATTACGCCAACTGCTGGTCCCAGCAGCCTTGTCTTGTACCAGTTTTTAGTGGAAAAGTTTTCAGCTTTTCTCCAAGAGATTTTTCTTACGGTTTGAATCTAGGGAATGAAAGAAATAGAGGAATTGAAATAGAGGAATGAAAAAAAAATAGACCTTCCAAGATTTTTGACCTGAACAAAATTAAAGCTAACAAACATCTCAACTCTATTACTTTCCCTTACTGCAACTCATGTGAAGGATCTTGGGGCAAAATGGTCCGAGCTCTGTGAGAGTGACGCGCCAAGTCCATGTGACCCCGGCAAGGGTGAATCAGTGTCACGTGTCAAAGCCAAGACGTTGCCTGCTGAAGAAATGTCCTTAGTCCTGTGGCATAAATGAACTGCATTTCTTTCTTTTTTTGGAGAGGTTTTTACTATAGGGCGCGTGCACTCACCAGAGAGACAGAGAGATAGAAAGTGAGAAATCACCCCCCAGGGGGGATGGCCATGCCGCAGTCCCTTCTCCTTCATTCTCCTCTCAGGATCTTGGGCACGCATGCACACGCCCAGGGTGAGTTTAAGCCACCAGGTCTGGGACTTGAACTGCAGTTGACCACATGGGAATTCAGCAACATAGCCATTGCGCCAACTTCTGGTCCCAGAGCGAACCGCATTTCTACTCTTGGTATGGACACACAGCAGTCCAGGTACGTGGGCTGAGCTCTGAGCTACAGGCCCGTGTGATGTACTGCGAATGTGGGAGCGCGCTCTCCTGTAGGTTCCAGACTGTGCAACTGCGCTCGACGAATTACAGGAGGTACAGCTGACTAAAGAGGAAGATTCAGAGACCAAAAGAGAAATGTCACTCAATCTCAGGATTTCTTGGTTTGTGTTCTCAGGGGAGTGAACGACCGGGCCATGGAGACGTGGCTGAACCAGTCATCCGAAGGCGGCTTTGTCCTCCTGGGCATCTTCTCCTACAGTCCAGCCGACCTCGTGCTCTTCTCCGCGGTGATGGTGGTCTTCACAGTGGCCCTGTGTGGGAACGTCCTCCTCGTCTTCCTCATCTACGTGGCCCCCCAGCTGCACACACCCATGTACTTCTTCCTCAGTCAGCTCTCCCTCATGGACCTCATCCTGGTCTGTGACATCGTGCCGAAGATGGCGGTCAACTTCCTGTCCGGCAGGAAGTCCATCTCCTTTGTGGGTTGTGGCATCCAGATCGGCTTCTTCGTTTCTCTCGTGGGATCTGAGGGGCTCTTGCTTGGACTCATGGCTTACGACCGCTACGTGGCCATCAGCCACCCCCTTCACTACCCCATCCTGATGAGTCGGAGGGTCTGTCTCCAGATCGCTGGGAGCTCCTGGGCCTTCGGGATAACCGACGGGCTGATTCAGATGGTGGTGGTAATGACCTTCCCCTACTGCGGCTCGAGGGAGGTGGACCACTTCTTCTGCGAGGTGCCAGCTCTACTGAAGCTGGCCTGTGCAGACACGTCCCTCTTTGATACCCTGCTCTTTGCTTGCTGTGTCTTCATGCTTCTCCTCCCCTTCTCCATTGTCGTGGCCTCCTATGCACGCATCCTGGGGGCTGTGCTCCGCATGCACTCTGCTCGGGCTCGGAAGAAGGCTCTGGCCACCTGCTCCTCCCACCTGGCAGCGGTCTCCCTCTTCTACGGTGCAGCCATGTTCATCTACCTGAGGCCTAAGCGGTACCGGGCCCCGAGCCATGACAAGGTGGTCTCTGTGTTCTACACGGTTCTTACTCCTATGCTCAACCCCCTCATTTACAGCTTGAGGAACCGGGAGGTGATGGGGGCCGTGAGGAAGGGGCTGGGCCGTTGCAGGGTTGGCAGCCAGCGCTGAGGCCAGTGCTCCCTTTACTGCTGTGTGAGGCTGGGAAGTCGCTTTCCCTGGCGAGTGTGCAATTCCATCAGCAAATGAGAATCCGGACACCTGCCCAACCCCTCAGGGACTTTGTAAGGATCACAACACACATAAAAGCATGAAGAGGCAATGCCTTGCTGCCATGGTCATTTTTGATTGTTTATGGCATCCCGGAACTAAATTTATTGTACTTCTTAATTTTTAAAAAATATATATTTTTTTGAGTACTTACTAAGTCCTAAGCACTTTTCCTGTTTTCTTACATACCAACTTCTTTTTCTTCTCTTACTCCTCCTCCTTTTTTTTTTTTTGGAGAGGTTTTTGCTTTAGGGTGCGCGCGCTCGCCAGACAGACAGAGACAGACAGAGAGACAGAGAGCAGGAAATCACCCCCTAGGGGGGCTGGTCACGCCGCAATCCCTTCTCCTCCATTCTCCTCTTGGGATCTCGGGCACGCATGCACACAAGCCCAGTGTGAGTTTAAGCCACCGGGTCCGGGACACGAACCGCGGTCGACTACGTGGGAGTCCAGCGACATAGCCATTACGTTAACTGCTGGTCCCACTCCTCCTCCTTCTTTCTTCTCAATTTGCCAGAGGGCACATGTGCTCACCTGAGAGACAGAGAGAGGGAAAATGGAAAGCACCCCCTACCCCCTGGGGCATGGTCATGCTACAATCTCTTCTCCCCTGTTTCTGGGATTTGGGGCCCACGTGCACATGTGCCCGGTGTGTTTTCCCAGCCACTGGGTCCAGGACTGGCACAGCACGGTTGGTCATGAGGGATTCAGCC